AAGAAAATGTTTTATAGTTATTTCAAGAAATCTACTATTTAGTGAAACTTAAATGGAGTATTTCTTATGGTAAATTTCAAACGAATTCCGGAAATTATTTTTGAAACTATGTATTTTTCAAAATCTATTGAAAAAAAATAAGAATAATGATGGGAGACTCACAGTTACCTAATACATAATAACAACTAAATCAGCATGACATGGTTACAGAAGTAAGAGACTTACAGATAAGTGGAACAAACTAGATAACTTAAAAACAAACCCAATATAAATAAGGTAAAGTAAGCATTATAAATTAGTGATAATTTAAATTGTCAGTGAGAAAATGTGTTAACCATTTGGGAAAAAAAATAAAGTTAGACCCCTACTCTCTGCCAAACTCAAAAAAGCACTAGAAAAAAATATGTTAATGTTTTTATTTATTTATTTATTTTTGAGGCAGAGTTTCGCTCTTGTTACACAGGCTGGAGTGCAATGGCGCGATCTCGGCTCACCGCAGTACGCTTGGATTAAGAAGGAACTTTCAAAAACAGCACTAAAGGCAGAACCCACAAAGAAAAGGACTAATAAGTTTGGCCATATAAACTTTTTGAACTTTTACAAATTAAAAGGAAGAAGCCAGTCATGATGGCTCATGCCTGTAATCCTAGCACTTTGGGAGGCCAAGGTGGGCGGATCACCTGAGGTCAGGAGTTGGAGACCAGCCTGACCAATGTGGTGAAACTCCATCTCTACTAAAAATACAAAAATTAGCCTGGTGTGGTAGCACACGCCTGTAGTCCCAGCTACTCAGGAGGCTGAGGCAGGAGAATCACTTGAACCTGGGAGGCAGAGATTACAGTGAGCCAAGATTATGCCACTGCACTCCAGCCAGAGTGACAAAGCAAGATTTTGTCTCAAAAAAAAAAAAAGAAAATTACTTCTAAAATAAAAAGAAGAAAGAAAAATTTTAAAGGCAAAGAACTGAATAAATTATTTGCAAACAATAAATATGAAAGGCAAAGGATTAATGTCCTTAGGGTTAAAAACGTTCTCACAAATTCAGTAAGACAGACAGGCATTCCAGTAGAAATCACATGAACAGGCAATTCACAAAGGATGCAGAATAGCCAATACAAATGTTTTTTAAAAAGCACCTTTCTCACAAAAATCACTTTTCATACTCAAAATATATATTAAAAATAATGAGATGCCATTCTTAACTAGATTAACAAAGGTTAAGAATAATAATACTACCCTATGATGATGAGACTGTTAGGGATGTGGTTATTGTCGCATAACTAGTATAATCTTTCTGGAGAACAGTTTGGTAAGGTCTATCAAAAACACAACCCATTGACCCTGAAATTTCACTTCTAGCATTTTGTTTCAAGTAAATAAGGAAGGTGTGCCAAGGTGTAAATATACGATGATGTTTATTGTACAACTGGTTGTAGTACTGCTTTTCATGAGAGGAACCTAGAGCATAGTAGATAAGATTCAAATTGGTAAAAAGACCTTAGGCAAATAATCTCTTTTTGCCTCCATTTTGTATGGAGGAATATGAAAGGATATGTTCACAAAAAAAGCTTGTACATGAATGTTCATAGCAGCATTTAATCAGCCAAAAAGTGGAAGCATCTTCAAACTGTTGTGCAAGTTAGAATGCTTAGAAACAGCTTCTGGCATATAGTAAAGACTATTTCATTGTTAGCTATGATGATAACAGTGGAAAACCAAAGTAATCTAAATATACAACAGTAAGATACTGGCTAAGTAAGTTACGATTTAGTCATATAATGGAAGAATCTACACATATTAAATATGATAACATATATTTATGTTTTATCATGTAGAGAAATGTTCACATTATATTGCTAAATGAAAAAAGTAAATGATGAGACAGTATATATAGTATGATCCCAGTTTTGTCTTTAAAATAAGTATACACGGCACAGACGAAACTCAGAATACATGTTAATAGCATTTCTTCCTAGCTAATGGAAACAGTTATTATGTTATCTACCTGCTATTCCTAAGTTTTCTATAGTGAAAATATAGTGAATAAAAATATAGTAAAAGCCAAATAGAGAAAACAATTGAGCAGTTTCTCAAAAAGGTGAACCTAAGAATTTCCATGTGAACCAGAAATTCCACTCCTAGATGTATAGCCAAGAGAATTGAAAGGATATGTTCACAAAAAAGCTTGTACATGAATGTTCATAGCAGCAATTAATCAGCCAAAAAGTGGAAGCAGCTCAAATGTTTAAACTGATAAATAAACAAAATATGGTATATCCATACAATGGAATATTATTCAGCAATAAAAATAAAGAATAATATTAAGCCAAGTAAAAGTCAGAAGTAAAAGACCACATACTCTGTGGTTCCATTTATATGAAATGTCCAGAATAGGCAAACCTATACAGACAGAAAGTAGATTACTGGTTGCCAGCAATTAGGAGGAATGAGAAACAGCTAATGGATATAGGTTTTCTTTGGGGGTGATGAAAGTGTTCAGGGATAGATAGTGGCAATGGTTGCAGAACTTAGTGAATATACTAAAAACCACTGAATTGTATATTTTTAAAGAGTGAATTTTATGGCTTGTGAATTATATCTTAGTAAAATAATGTTTAAGAAAAGTAAAATAGAAACTATTAGCTCTAAGACAGCAGATTTTAAAAGGAATGTGGCAAATTAAAGTCTTAATTTTTCATTGAATCCTATAATTACAGGTATGGATTTTAAAATCATAGATTTTTTTGTTCTACCAAAAGACATATGCATGCATATGTTCATCAAAGTACTAGTCACAGGAATAAAGACATGGAATCTCCCGAGGTGCCCATCAGTGGTGGATTGGATAAAGAAAATGCAGTACATATATACCATGGAATACCACACAGCCATAAAAAAAGAATGAAGCTTTGTCCTTTGCAGCATCATGGATGCAGCTAAAGACCATTATCCCAAGTGAATTAACACAGCAAGGAATGAAAAAACAAATTCTACATGTTTTAACCTCTAAGTGGGTGCTAAACAATGAGTGCCCATGGCTTGTTGACATAAAGATGGTAACAACAGATGTTGGGGACTGCTAGACCGGGGAAGAAGTGGAGGGGCAAGGGTCAAAAAACTTACCAGTAGGTACTATGCTTGGTACCTGAGGGATGGAATCATTTGTACCCCAAACCTCAGCATCATGCAGTATACCCAGATAACAAATCTATATGTGTGCCCCCTGAATCTAAAATAAAAGTTGAAATTATTAATTTTTTATTTTATTTTAGATTCAGGGGCACATGCACAGATTGAGGGGACAGAATCATTCGTACCCCAAACCTCAGCATCACACAATATACCCAGATAACAAATCTGTATGTGTGCCCCTGAATCTAAAATAAAAGTTGAAATTATTAATAGATAAATAAATAAAAGTAAATTTTGTTGCAGAAATGTGAATCCGGAAATTATAAGTGACCCTGTAGCTGTATCTCCACAGCTTCCTCTAACTCCCACAACCCCTCTTTAGTTAATGAAAACTTGAGGCATTTAAAAACTGATACAGGAAACTATTTGCGTCTGTTGTCAGAACTTGGCTTTATATCTTAAATAATTTGCACTACTTTTAGAATTTTTATGTGTCTGTGTTTTCTCATGTAAGCTGCCGTCTCTATATCTCACCTTATGGTGCCTAAGTGGTTCAAGTATGTTCTAGAATAATGTACCAAGTATAAATTATCTCATTTTTCCGCTTTGTGATTTCTCTTTCTCTTCTTTCCATTCCCTTCCCACTCCTGGCCTTTCTTGTGCTCCAGAATATTTGAAAAATTGAGTTAGGGTATAGCACCTTATTTTTAACTAATTCTTTCCTTAAGCATTTTTTGAACACCTAATATGTATCAAGGCAATGTGCTAAGGTTAACAAAACAAAAATGAAATACCTGGTTTCAGACAGATAAAGTGATACATCTTCGAGCTGCTCTGGGAACAGTTGAGGAGGCCATTTAACCCAGATATGGACCGTCAGGCAGGACTTCTTTTACCATCAATACAATTAGTAGATCTTCTTTTAAAGCACATCACATCAATTCTGCATTTTTAGAAACTGTTGACAGTATAGCTTATTCTTGGTACTTAGCAAATCCTATAATTGTATAAGAACAGAAAAAAAATTGAGAAAAGCAGTGGGGATCTATCCCCAAGCTATGTATATAAGCCAAAAATTATTTTTTAATTGGCATCAATATAAGCAGTACAGGTGCAGAGACACTGAATGAAGGCCTGCTTTCTGCTCAACTGCTTAGAATGTTTAAGATCTTTTAAACCATCAGAGCTTCTAGTGGCTTTGCTTCCCCTAATAATAATACCTACTAGATTTTTTTAAATACCATCATGAACTTAAAGGAATTACTATTCTCATTGGTGTTTTTAAAGAAACAAGTAATCTCTCTATACTGCTTTGTTCAGGACTGATTTTCAACTGATATATACTGGTATAGCCATACTGGTTGTTAGATATTGAAATATCTTATTATTGATTGGTAAAGAGCTGCTGTCGTAAGCTGTCTGGATGCCCCGCCACAGCCTGGCCTTTCCACCAGGAACTTCACTCCTGCACCTCCCCACAATCCAACAATTAAAAGGTTATCTGAGTCATAACAGGAGGCCTTTAGGATCCTCTGCTTCACTGGGCTTGCATCCGTACTGATTGCTGGTGCTTGGCCCATCCCTTTCCTGTAATAATTTTAAATATCATCCCGACTTTCTGACTGACTGAGTAAATCATTACTGATTTTTATCAGTGTTTGTGTTCTGCAATCTAGAGTATCAAATAGCTCTAACTCACCCGCGTTGCTTATCTGTATAGAATCAATATTCAGAGGTACATTCTTTCTGAATAAGCCCAGAATGCCATCATACTATAACTCGTCTCTTAAACCACACTGCATTTTTTTCTTTGTTTCTCTCAATGTTGACAGTTTGACCTAAGTTCTGTGTTCTCTTGTTCCTTTCAGTTCGCTTTGCACCTTATAGGCCTCCAGATATCTCCTTGAAGCCTCTGCTCTTTGAAGTGCCCAGCATCACTACAGAGTCAGTGTTTGTTGGCCGAGATTGGGTTTTCCACGAAATAGATGCTCAACTTCAAAGTTCAAATACCAGCGTGAACCAAGGAGTAGTGATTGTGGGAAACATTGGCTTTGGCAAAACTGCCATCATCTCCAGACTGGTGGCCCTCAGCTGCCATGGTACAAGGATGAGACAGATCGCCTCAGACAGCCCACATGCCTCCCCCAAACGTACGTATTCCTTTTTAAAGAACTCCCTGCTTCATTGGTGCTGAAGCTTTTCTGACATATTTATATTAGGTTGTATATCCTCTTATTTTCTCATCTGCAAAAGCTGGCTTCCACGTGAGGACTATTCATTCAGAGTTCAGAGAAAGAATGTAATACTCTATTTACATCTAACCCACATACCCAATAGTCACCTAAGCATTACAAAAAAAGAAAACCTTTCTCGTGGAATAAATTTATGACTCTTCCATGCTGGCTGTACAGTTGGTCTGTCTTTTCGATAACTGCAGCAGTTGCCAGTAGAGTGATTTGCATTCATCACTGTCAGCTTTTGCTCAGTCTGTGCCCAGATCTTGGATTTGCCAGCACGATCTGTTTGCATCCTTCATTTCTTTGCTGTTGACATCAGCATTGTACTGCTTGGACTTGAGCTTCATTGTGTCCTTGAAGGGGTTCTCCTGCTTCCTTGTGAAAAGGTGCTGAGCTCTCATATGTATTCAGCTTCTTTCATCACAGCAGGGGGCAGCTTAATAATCACCACCAGGATCTTACTAATTTATCTTTTAAACACTCATATGGTACTTACTATGTGCCAGATACTCTCTAAGCTCTTTACAAATATTAATTCATCAAATTCTACGGTCAGCTTAGTTAAGTTGTCTTCGTCTCACAGGTAAGTAATCTGAGGTTCAGAGAGGTTAAGTAAGTTCTCCCAGGTTTTACAGCCAATAAATGGTGGAACTAAGCAGTCTGATTTCAGAGGCCATTCTCTTACCCATTTTGCTATGCTGCCTCTCCTTATTGGTGAAACTCACTTTAGTTAAGAAAATAAATAGAAATGTATCAATGTTCTTCTTGTACATACTATATGTATAGAACCTGTCTACCTGGTTTCTGTTAGAAGAAAACCAAAAAAAGAAACTACTGCTCTGCCAGTCCAAATCAGTAATCTTGCCCAGCACAGACTTTCAGACAGCAACCACTAGAAACGGTTTGTGTGAGATAATAGTAGTTACAGGGTCTAGCACAGTGCTAGACACATAACAGGAACTCACTGAAGACCGTCCAAACTTCTTGGCTTCCTATTGAAGCTAGTTAGCAGGCTTGTATCATTAAGGAAGCAGATTGCCTCTGGTAAACTTATGGATGTCTAACATGGAAGAACTAGTGTCTTAGAAGAAAACTATTTGAATAAAAATACCTCTTACCAGGGTATGGTAAGAATTGTTATAGAAGAATTCTTTTCTTCAGAGGCATATATTGCTAGTTTCTAAATGAAGCTCTTATGAGGTAGATTGACATAGTACTGTGGGAGTCAAGAGCCCAGGGTTTGTGCCCCAGCACTCAAATTGAATAGATTTTGTGAACTTGAGAATTTTACTTTAATTCTTTAGAGCTCAGTTTTCTTATTTATAAAATGAAGAAGTGTGACTAGTTGATCTTTCAGAATTGTGTCTGCTGAAATTTTGATTCTGAAAATATATTTTCATGATTAAAAGTAACTTTCCACACTATTCCAGTATTTTTCTTTGAGTACTTAAGTATTTATCACTCCAAACTGCTGTTTATCTGAGTAGTGCAAGTGGCTTGCTATTTGAGTGTGTCAGAAAGGAAACCAGAAAACTCAAGGTCTCTGTGATTCCTCTGTATATCAGAGTTGCAGATAACAGAGTGGTAGAATCATGCATAACAGAAAGTAAATCCCAAAGACAAAAAGAGCTGCTTTCCCAGAAAGGAAAGGTACCTGGGGATGTCCCTATGAGCCTGGGGAAGGATGCGGGGAGAAAAAGTTTTTAGAAAGCCCATTTGCTCCCCAAAGCAAAGATTCTTTAAAGATAGTTCACTGAGTTATTCTCTAACATCCATTGCCTTCCGGAGAATCTCCAGAAACACCGGGACACTCCCCATTCATGAGATAAACATTCATTGTTGAGACTGTAGATTTGGCCTGACACTTAGCTTTCAGAATTTGAAAGGGGTCAAGAGAGCTAAATAAAGCATGTGGCTCTATACATCAGAATTACTCAGAACCAATGTTACCTTATACAAAATAATTTTTGTTACAATTTGTTGACAGCCAAACTATATTCTACCGCTGCCATCTTAACAAAACCAAAAGAAGGGTCAAGAGTAAGTGACTGATAAAATGCAAGCTGTTTTTTGGCACAATTCTAACTGTTACCTGTATGAACTGGTGCTGAATATGTTACTGGCAGCAGCAGAAGTTTTTTTCACTAATAAGAATAAGAATGATATCTGTATATGGAGGGTTGGCTTAATTTTTTAGAGTTTAACTTACATTGAGCTTGGATGGGTTTATTTGGAACCTCACTGGCTTTGTTAATCTTTGGGTGATGGTACCAATTATATAGTTGTAGTGATAATAACAATACATGGGAAATTATTGGAGTTTCCAACTTCTGTCTCTGCATCATCTGTCATTCTTTCTCTGCCCCTGCCTTCTTTATGTTTGGTTTTCAGACAACAGTAGAAAGAAAAGCTGAGCACTACTGCTGTGGAAAGTGGGAGAAGTTTGGCCTTCAGTACTGCCTTGCTTGGCTGTCCTTCCCCCACAGAAACTCAGCACCCTAGCCCACCCCCTCCTTGTCATTTCCCTGGAAGGATATAGAAAAGCTGTCAAGGCAGTCACTAGCCTGTCATCCTGCTTTCCACCTCCTCTCCCAAACCTGACACCCCTGTCAGTCTCTACCACTACCACCATTATCCAGCTCCCCCAACACACACACACAAGAACAAAAATATTTTTGTGAAAACAGACCTGTTGTATAATTCAGAATTATTACATTAACTACAGATATTCTCAGTATAGTAGTAGTTGGGGAAGCTCTAATACAAGACTGTATGTTCCTATCACTAAAAGTATCAATGTAGTTAATTTGGATTTGATACTTGCCAGCAGCTGCCAAGTGCCCAAACAGCTGTTAAGTAAATAAATCCTACCCTCCCTATTCTGCTTATATTAGCAGTCTCTTTTGCCAGTTTGCTATGCACATTGACTACAGCCTCCATATTAACTTTTATTTCTACTGTTGCCTGAATACCAAACAGAAAGTAAGGCATTCAGACAAAAAAGAGGGTATTTACAAAAGGAAAACCTAGAAGACAGAGGGTATTTGGACAGTAATTACCCACACAATCAAATACCAGATAAAGGGGAATAGAGTAGGGGGAGGAAGTGAACAGCAGAAATAATACAGTGACATGCAATCACTGAACTTCACCTCAACCGTGATTTTAAAAAAAAGTCACACATTTCTTTAATTTCTTTAGCCTTTTTTTATTGCCATCTCCCATAGCCACCCCCCCTGCAGTTATCCAGGACTCTATCCAGTGACCAAGAAATTTATTGCACCAGTTGAATGAAAGAAGTCTAAATTCACTCCTACTAGTAGGGAGTTAAATGAGGACTACTTTTTCCTATTCCTTCTTTTCAATGGCTATTGGCCATCAAATAACAACTTCTAATATTTACTTTGGTATCCATTTTTAAAGTACTATTTTATTCATAAATATAGTCTATAATTTCTACTAATATATTTTCTAAATAAGAACAAATTGAATTTTTAAAATCTCAAACAGTTTTATTGAGCTGTAATTCACATACCATGTAATTCACCTATTTAAAGTGTTCAATTCAGTATTTTTAGTATAATTCAAAGGGCTGTACAGCAATCATCATAATCAAACTTTACGCCATTTTCATCTCCTTAAAAGAAGCTCATGCCTGTTAGCAGTCAATCCCCATTCTCCTCTTAACCCTTTTATTTCCAGTCCTAGGTGACCACTAATTTACTTTCTGTCTCTATGGATTTTCCTATTCAGGGCATTTTATGTAAACAAAATCAAACAATATATGGGCCTTTTTTTTTTTTACTGACTTCTTTGATTTAGCATAACATTTTCAAGGGTTATCCCCATTCTCACATGTATCCGTATCTCATTTCTTTTTATTGTTGGGTTGTTTTATTGTTGACTATTGTCTATTGAATGGATATATACTGTGTTTTATCTGTTCATCAGTAGGTGGGTATTTAGGTTGTTTCCACTTTTGGCTACTACGAATCACTCTTCTATGAACATTATTGTACAAGTTTTTGGGTGGAATGTGTTTTTATTTTTCTTAGGTATATACTTAGAAGCAGAATTGTTAGATCATAGAACAAATAGAATTCAGCCATTTTTCCTTTAAAGTTTTATGATTATCTGATGCAAACATCTAAATCTTTTTAATACAGATGTGGATGCCAACAGAGAGCTGCCACTCACACAGCCACCTTCAGCCCACTCATCTATCACCAGTGGAAGCTGCCCAGGAACCCCAGAAATGCGCAGGCGGCAGGAGGAGGCAATGCGAAGACTAGCCTCACAGGTACAATATGATTCCCAAGTTGGGGACATGGTAGTTCCATTTTAATACCAAGGAAGCAAAGATAGGGAGATCTTTGGCAAAGTGAACAAAAATGCATAAAAGTATACCTTGTGAACATGGAGAAAACTTTCTCTTTCTTTGCTATTCCTAGAAGAAACCTTTATTATGATGGGATCAGAACCTTAGAGTTGGAAAGACCCTTGGAAATAAAGTCTTCTAGTCAATAAATAAAAAAGTTGAGAACCAACGAAGTGGGTTGGGTGGTTTTGAGACAGAGTTTCACTCTGTTTCCCAGGCTAGAGTGCAATGGTGCAACCTCAGCTCACTGCAACCTCTGCTTCCCAGATTGAAATGATTGTCGTTCCTCAGCTTCCCGAGGAGCTATAGCTGGGACTACAGGTGCATGCCACCATGCCAGACTAATTTTTGTATTTTTAGTAGAGACATGTTTTTGCCATATTGGCTGGACTTCTCTCAAACCTCTTACCTCAGGTGATCCACCTGCCTCAGCCTCCCAGAGTGCTGGGATTACATGCGTGAGCCACTGCACCCAACCAGAAGTGATATGTTTTACCCAACATGAGGGTGTAAGTAATCAACAGTTTATAATTTTTATAGCTTAAAACTTTTATACTATACAGTCCATAATATTTTTTATACATTTGGGTTTGAAATTTCTATTTTTCTCAAAGTAAGCACATAGAAAAATAATGCTCAAAATCAGCAATTCTCTTCCTCTACCCCTCCCATCTTCTCCACACAGGCAGCCACTTTCACCTCTTAAGGAAGTTTCTCTGATTTTCACCTCCATATTTCTAAATACTATTCGTATACTGCTGAAATTTAATTAGTTTACAAATTATCTATTTCTTCTTATTATGGATGATGGGAATTAGAGCTCTTTCACCTTCCTGCTTCCCACTACCAGCCCAATACAATTATTGCATGATTTTTGGCTGAATCCATATTATAGGATTTTCATTATTAATATTATGCAACTATCTCACTCTGGAGCCAAGGATAACATTTCCTTCTTGAACAATTTTGTTTTTTCTTGGGGTTTATGAAATGCCTCATTTTAAAATTTGCTTATTTTTCTTCAAACCTTTGGCTCAGTCATTCCATAACCCTTAATGTAGTTTTATAAAACATTTCTCAATACAGTTTTCCACACTTACCAGTTACATTTTTTACCCAGGAGGCCTTCGTCCTAGAGCCCCCCAATGGAGCTCAGTCTGGACGAGTGACGCTCTGAAAGCTTACCACCTTGTTCTTCTGGGAGTTCCTGTCACTTCTCTTTTGTGTTTCATCTCATGTCATATTCTTTCTCAATTTTATTCTTCATTTTAGTGGAGCATATCCTCCAGTAGCTTCCTAACCAAAAATGCATAGGGCATAAATTTTTTGAGACTTATTTCAAAAAGCATCATTATTCTGTGTTCATCCTTGCTTATTTGTTTGACACAGTATTATCATTCTAGGGTAAAAATTATTTTTTCTCAATTTTGTAGGCATTGCTCCTTCCAATATTGCTATTAAATACTCTGATACTATTCTTATTCCTAATCCTTCATATATACCTTGTTTTCTCTCCAAACGCTTTTGGAATCTTCTTTTTATCACCCTTCTTGGATCTTTTTCATTTATTCTGTTGGTACCTAGCAAGCTCTGGAGATATTCTTTAATTCTGAGTAATGCTTTTGTATTATTTATGATAATTTCCTCTATTTTCTCTTTCTACAACTTGTATTAATCAAAAGTTAGATTTCTGTCTGGGCACGGTGGCTTTTGCCTATAATCCCAGAACTTTGGGAAGCCAAGGTGGGTAGATCATCTGAGGTCAGGAGTTTGAGACCAGCCTGACCAACATGGCAAAGCCCCATCTCCAGACAGATACAAAAATTAGCCAGGCATGGTGGCATGTGCCTGTAGTCCGAGCTACTCAGGAAGCTGAGGCAGGAGAATCACTTGAACCCAGGAGGCAAAGGTTGCAGTGAGCCGAGATTAAGCCACTGCACTTCAGTCTGGACAACAGAGCAAGACTCTGTCTCAAAAAAAAAAAAATTAGATTTCCTATACTGATAGGATAGTCCTCATTTTCTTTATCTTTCTCTTCTGTTTTCTATACTTTTGTTTTTTTTTTTTTAATTTTTTATTGGATTTTAGGTTTTGGGGTACATGTGCAGAACATGCAAGACAGTTGCATAGGTACACACATGGCAGTGTGTTTTGCTTCCTTTCTCCCCTTCACCCACATTTGGCATTTCTCCCCAGGCTATCCCTCCCCAGCTCCCCCACCCGCTGGCCCTCCCCTTTTCCCCTCAATAGACCCCAGTGTTTAGTACTCCCCTCCCTGTGTCCATGTGTTCTCATGTTTCATCACCCGCCTATGAGTGAGAATATGCGGTATTTCATTTTCTGTTCTTGTGTCAGTTTGCTGAGAATGATGTTCCCCAGATTCATCCATGTCCCTACAAACGACACAAACTCATCATTTCTGATTGCTGCATAATATTCCATGGTGTATATGTGCCACATTTTCCCAATCCAATCTATCATCAATGGGCATTTGGGTTGGTTCCAGGTCTTTGCTATTGTAAACAGTGCTGCAATGAACATTCGTGTACATGTGTCCTTATAGTAGAACGATTTGTAGTCCTTTGGATATATACCCAGTAATGGGATTGCTGGGTCAAATGGAATTTCTATTTCTAAGGCCTTGAGGAATCGCCACACTGTCTTCCACAATGGTTGAACTAATTTACACTCCCACCAACAGTGTAAAAGTGTTCCTTTTTCTCCACATCCTCTCCAGCATCTGTTGTCTCCAGATTTTTTAATGATCGCCATTCTAACTGGCATGAGATGGTATCTCAATGTGATTTTGATTTGCATCTCTTTGATGACCAGTGATGATGAGCATTTTTTCATATGATTGTCGGCCTCATATATGTCTTCTTTTATAAAGTGTCTGTTCATATCCTTTGCCCATTTTTGAATGGACTTGTTTGTTTTTTTCCTGTAAATCTGTTTGAATTCTTTGTAAATTCTGGATATCAGCCCTTTGTCAGATGGGTAAACTGCAAAAATTTTTCCCCATTCTGTTGGTTGCCGATTCACTCTAAAGACTGTTTCTTTTGCCGTGCAGAAGCTGTGGAGTTTGATTAGGTCCCATTTGTCTATTTTGGCTTTTATTGTCAATGCTTTTGGTGTTTTGGTCATGAAGTCCTTGCCTACTCCTATGTCCTGGATGGTTTTGCCTAGATTTCCTTCTAGGGTTTTTATGGTGCCAGGTCTTATGTTTAAGTCTTTAATCCATCTGGAGTTAATTTTAGTGTAAGGTGTTAGGAAGGGGTCCAGTTTCTGCTTTCTGCGCATGGCTAGCCAGTTTTCCCAACACCATTTATTAAACAGGGAATCCTTTCCCCATGCTTGTTTTTGTCAGGTTTATCAACGATTGTATGGTTGTAGATATGTTGTGTTGCCTCCGATGCCTCTGTTTTGTTCCATTGGTCTATATCTCCGTTTTGGTACCAGTACCATGCTGTTTTGATTACTGTAGCCTTGTAGTATAGTTTGAAATCTGGTAGTGTGATGCCCCCCACTGTGTTCTTTTTGCTTAGAATTGACTTGGCTGTGCGGGCTCTCTTTTGGTTCCATATGAAGTTCAAGGTGGTTTTTTCCAGTTCTGTGAAGAAAGTCAATGGTAGCTTGATGGGGATAGCGTTGATTCTGTAAATTACTTTGGGCAGTATAGCCATTTTCACGATATTAATTCTTCCTAACCATGAACATGGAATGTTTCTCCATCTGTTTGTGTCCTCTCTTATTTCGTTGAGCAGTGGTTTGTAGTTTTCCTTGAAGAGGTCCCTTACGTTCCTTGTGAGTTGTATTCCAAGGTATTTTATTCTTTTTGTAGCAATTGTGAATGGCAGTTCATTCTTGATTTGGTTTTCTTTAAGTCTGTTATTGGTGTAGAGGAATGCTTGTGATTTTTGCACATTGATTTTATATCCTGAGACTTTGCTGAAGTTGCTTATCAGTTTCGGGAGATTTTGGGCTGAGGCAATGGGGTCTTCTAGGTATACTATCATGTCGTCTGCAAATAGGGACAATTTGGCTTCCACCTTTCCTATTTCAATACCCTTTATTTCTTTTTCTTGCCTGATTGCTCTGGCTAGAACTTCCAGTACTATATTGAATAGGAGTGGTGAGAGAGGGCATCCTTGTCTAGTGCCGGATTTCAAAGGGAATGCTTCCAGTTTTTGCCCATTCAGTACGATATTGGCTGTTGGTTTGTCGTAAATAGCTTTTATTACTTTGAGATACGTTCCATCAATACCGAGTTTATTGATGGTTTTTAGCATAAAGGGTTGTTGAATTTTGTTGAATGCCTTCTCTGCGTCAATTGAGATAATCATATGGTTTTTGTTTTTGGTTCTGTTTATGTGGTGAATTACGTTTATAGACTTGCGTATGTTGAACCAGCCTTGCATCCCTGGGATGAATCCTACTTGATCATGATGGATAAGTTTTTTGATTTGCTGTTGCAATCGGCTTGCCAATATTTTATTGAAGATTTTTGCATCTATGTTCATCATGGATATTGGCCTGAAGTTTTCTTTTCTTGTTGGGTCTCTGCAGGGTTTTGGTATCAGGATGATATTGGTCTCATAAAATGAATTGGGAAGGATTCCGTCATTTTGGATTTTTTGGAATAGTTTCAGAAGGAATGGTACCAGCTCCTCTTTGTGTGTCTGGTAGAATTCGGGTGTGAACCCATCTGGACCTGGGCTTTTTTTGTGTGGTAGGCTCTTAATTGCTGCCTCGACTTCTGACCTTGTTATTGGTCTATTCATAGTTTCAGCTTCCTCCTGGTTTAGGCTTGGGAGAACACAGGTGTCCAGGAATTTATCCATTTCTTCCAGGTTTACTAGTTTATGTGCATAGAGTTGTTTGTAATATTCTCTGATGATGGTTTGAATTTCTGTGGAATCTGT